ACATGATGAACCAAAGCTCATCACAAACAGCTTTTCTATGAGCTGAGGAGGGCAATACTTATATATAGAAGGTGCAGTGTCATTCACATAAACACTAAACCTCATAATGGGGACACACGTGATACTGAAATAATGCAATAAACTTAAATGTAATTACATTTATTCACCGTATATAGTATGGAAACTTACTGTTAACCAGTTAACAGGTTTTTACTGTAGCATTTTTACAGTCTTTTACTGTTAAAATCACAATCATTTTTTTACAGTATAGTGAACGGTTCTCTGGGGAACCACAAATGGCTCTTCTATGGTAACATTGCGAAAACAACCTTTTGGAACCTTTATTTTTAGGAATGTAGCTTAGCTGGTTTCATAATAGTCTAGTTTTTCCATAAACAAGCTAGATTTTTTCACAAGTATGTCATATGCAGCATTAGAAAATCTGATTCTTTCAGTGAATCAGTTCGCCTAAGATGGTTCACCTAAATAAGAGATTCACTGCATCAAACATAACTCCCGCATCTTCTCTTTTGAAGTGAAATATTTAATTAAATGATACTGTTTGTGTTCATTTCAGTTAAATAAAATCCTGTTGACTAATCCTAGCAGTTACACTCTTAAAAATACAGGTTCTTTCGTGGCATTCATCCATAGAACATTTCCATTGCACAAAATGTTTCTAGAATATAAAAATGTTCTTCACACTAAGGAAAAAAATGGCTGTTTTAAGATTTGTTCACATTAAGGTTCTTTGAGGAATCTAAAATACTACTTCTATTGCAACCCTGCAAAAACTCACTTTTGGAACCTTTATTTTTAAAAGTGTACATTGTGGTTCAATTTAATGCAATCAGCCTAGTTTATATATGTAGATGTTTTTGTGCCAATTAAATTAAATTCAGCAATTAGAACATTTTAAAATCTGAATAAAAGTATTAAAATAATCTTTTGAATTTAAAATGATATTGTTCCCTTAAAGGTTAAATAATTCTTGTTAGCAACACAGTGCAGCCACTTTATTTAAAAGAGTGGTTTGACTGTACTAAACTGCAGTTTAGACAGTATTAAACTAGTTTGTAGCTTGGCATTCTACTGTACAGTTTCAAAATAGCTTCCTTAACGCTGGTAAAGAGGGGGAAAGTGTGATAACAGGTTAACACAACATAATGCAATGACATCTGATTCATAGAGAAACACTGTTGACAGGGAGTTTACAAGAATAAAAGGCATCAGGATGCAGTTTCATTCTTCTCTTAACTATACTAAAACAATGCAAACAACTATTTTTACATTTTCTGAGCAAAATGTAAGTGGTGCTTACCAATGCAAAAGTCACGCCACAATGCCAGGCTGTTGCGGGTGGTTGCCACATCACTTCTATGCAGTTGCTAACATGTTCTGAGTGTTTTAGCACATTATTATATGGTTGCACCTCCTCTATGATATTCTAGGTTCCTAAATATGGTCTATAGACTATGGGTAAAAACTGCACGTCAGTGATCGCACATCACAAAGTAATAGCACACCTCTTTTCAACAATCTCATGACCACAGGATGAGTTTAGTTTAATAAGGGCAGAGGTTTGTTCAAATCCCTATCCCTGAGTATGAGCAACAATAAAAATGATGCTTGCCTTGGTCTCTGTTCAGTTGCTTTGACACAATCTGTATTGTTAACAGCGCTATATAAATAAAGGTGACTTGACTTGACTTGACTTGGCAAAAAACACTAATTATGTTTCGTTCACTGCATTTATTCTCATTACAATGTGCAGAGCATTGATAAAGTAGTTTCACTTTTCACCATTTTAAATGCAAGATTCTTATAAAATACCACTAATTCATCACGTAATGTTTATAGGCATGTCTTTTTTAAATGTTTTTGAAAGAAGCCTTATTCTCATCAAGGCTGCATTTATTTGATGAAAATACAGTAAAAACAGTAATATTGTGAAATATTATTACAATTTAATATAACTATATCAAAGCTGAATTTTATATTATAAAATATATATTTTTTTCTATTATTAAGAAAAGAAAATCTTACTGAACCCAAACACTTGAACAGCCTTATACATTTACTATAAACCACTTCATTAAAAATGTTACCACTGAAAATGACTGTCGAATGCAGTATCATTGGTTCTATTCTGCCTTTAAGTTTTCTGGCCCTAAATGACCCTCTGGCAACATGAATAGTTAAAAACGAATCAAAATGGGGAGACCGTCATTTCAACAGAAGCCTGTTAAGTCATCCTGAAGGCTAAACATCTGAGTATAATTAAATTACTATAAGGTTGGCTTTATAAGGGAATAGTTGCTTGATTCTTGCAGGCTTCTTATGTGGTCCTAGAGTGAATACTAAAACCCCAGAGTACAGTGAACTTGATTTATTCTGCTCTGCTGCAGCCAAAATGAGTCAGAAGCTCTGTTCCAAAAAATAGTGAACTACCTATCCTGCATTTTAAGGCATCGTCTTGATACTTATATTGTACTACTTCATTCAATACTGAAGAACAATGCAGAATCTAATTGGAATGGACTATTAAATCCAATATTTTAGTGTCCTGTGTAATGTTGTGCTTATTAGAGTATTGCGTAGTTATCTTAGCAACATGCTAATCCCAAATTCTACGGAAATCATGTTAGTAAATATGAGTAAAAGTAGCTGAAACAGTCCTGAAAGAGAAATCAAAGAGCTTGAAATGTCAATAATGAGAAAATTGCATAGTAAGCTCTACATCTGCTGTGTTTATTCATGAGGTCTCTGCCCAATCTCATGACTATGCTAATGAGAATGCAAATACGCAAATAAAAGTTTGCTGAACTTGACTAGTCTCACTTACAGTCTGTTTACTCAATGCCTGATGCATATTACACACAAAACTGGAAAGAACTTCCTCAATCCAGCAAAAACGCCATTGCTTATGGACATAAAGTTTGTTTAACAGTCCACCTGGAAATAGTGCACATGTAGAGAGCTGTATTTTCCAGTTTTCATTCCAGTCAATACACATTTTCCATTTGTAAAGACTACAGCACCATTATCTGATATACTTTTTTAAGTGACGTGACATGTGGCCAAGTATGGTGACCCATACTTGGAATTAGTGCTCTGCATTTATCCCATCCAAAGTGCACACACACAGCAGTGAACACACACACACACACACCGTGAACACACACCCGGAGCAGTGGGCAGCCATTTTTTGCTGCGGCGCCCGGGGAGCAGTTGGGGGTTCGGTGCCTTGCTCAAGGTATTGGTATTGGTACATGGTATTGACGGTGGGAGAGAGCGCTGTACATTCACTCCCCCCACCTACAATCCCTGCCAGTACGAGACTCAAACCCGCAACCTTTGGGTTACGAGTCCAACTCTCTAACCGTTAGGCCACGACTTTTTTGTTTTAAAAACATATGTATGTATTGTAAACCTCCACCTTAAAAGCACATCAAAACGAAATATTTAGCTAGTCAGTTTCTGGCTACATGAGACTAAACTGGTGTTCCTTCTTCACCAATGAAGAACCAACAAGACCATGATAGTCTTTACAGCAAAACGACATAGTGACCATACTGTGAAAATGCAGTGACACACTTCAAAATGTTTGTGGACATTAATAACAGACAACAAAAGTATTGAAGTCAGCATTATAGTATTATTTTCACATGATGAGACTGTTAGCACAGTTAGTCTGAGACGCCATATTGAATTTAACACCGCAGAAAGAGGCTGTGAGGGATTGATCTTTACAATGGCACACACTGTAAAGGACCTAAATCACATAATTGTCATACAATTTCACTTAATTTATAATTTATTATTTTGTTTTTTTTTATTAATACGTTTCATCAGTTGAACACTCGGCATGTTGTCAAAAAACAGCCTACAATCCATTGAACGCCCGTACTTTTACAACCTAGTTTTTATTTTTAAACTTTAATACGGCACTGGGTCTATTGTTGAAAGTGTTCCAACAACTCCAAAACAATTATTCTACCAAATGGAACAAACATCAGGAGGAAAGAAAAAATATATATATTAGGAAAGTTTCTTTGCTAAACAAATTGAAAACAAATTAGGTGGAAATCAGGCACATGCATTCTTAAAAATCACTTTTCAAATTTTTCAAAAATGACTTTGAACTGACAGTGGTCAAGTTACTTAACCCAGTTAGTCATCTTTCACTTTTTCATCACATCATATATAAGTGTTCAAAGCGACCATTTATGCTGTCTTCAATAACATTATGCAATAGCATAACCTACTGCGCTCATATTCAAGAACTGAACTGACATTATTCAAAAATATTAAGTTATCTCCTCATAAAATATCAAAATGCAAAACCACTTAAGCGCCTTTTAATATTAAATGAATAAAAAATGATGAATGGATAGTCAGTGCCCCTCACTCAAGTGTATAAAACAGCAATACACTATTTAAAAACTATTAAGTGACTGTTGAAGTGTATTGATGCGCCTTCTGTTATTAGATACAGATGCACCGTTGCAAACGGAAGCAATGGCTTTAAGCTCATTCCCTTCAAAGCAGTGGCATCTCCCAGTCAACTACTTCACAAAACTCAGAGCACAGATGCAAAAAGTATCCAAATGAAAGGATATTTCTCGTACTGAGCGTCTGAGCCATCTCTCTCTCTCTCTCTCTCTCTTACACACACACACACACACACACACACACACAATTCGAGATAATTCCTCTAGCCAGTGAGCTTCCATGCAGTGGGATGGACTTGCAATAGAGACCCTGCACGGTTTGCAGGTTCTTAACCCGATTGTAAAACGGGGGCAGAAGGGTCTCTTTCCCTCACGAGCACACAGAAAGTGTGTGGACTTGGGAGTGATAAAATGACAGCAGTCCTCCACCTGCATCACTGAGAGCATCAGCATCAGCAGCAGTAGCAGCATCAGTGGTACTCTAGCGCAGGAGGATGCTGAGGGAGGAACACGGGGGATGCAGCAGAAATCCATCAGCCCTCTTACCTTGAAAGGGAACATATGACATGTTCCAACGGCATTGAACGCGTCTCCGTGTCTCTTCAGTCTCTCGACATTCAAAAATATCCTTCAACAGTCAAAAGAAGCGAAAACCCCCTTGTGCTCATGGACTGCGTCGATGCTGGAGCGATATTCCCGTGATGCGAATGGAAAAACCGAAACAAAATCATCGTCCATGGTCGACGAGAGCCATTGGAATGATTACAGCCCGTGTATCACATCACATATCACACACGCGCAAAACAAGAGTGATGAAGAAGAGAGAGAGAGAGAGAGAGAGAGAGAGAGAGGGGGCGGTGAAGGGAGAGCGCGCGCGTGTATGTGTGTGCGCGTTTACCAGTGTAGATCGACCTAAATGCACTGTGTGTATGTCTGTTAATGTGATGTGATATATTGCCCCATAGAGTCACATGACTATTAAATACCACCGAATACGGATATGGTAATCACGGTGATGTGCATCATGTATCTCTATGATGCCATCGCTGTTGATTCTCAAGTTACACAATGAGTGGACAGTTCATTTGAACCTCGATGTGAAATCTTACAGAATTTAACCTCAAATATAAACTTTTTTTATATTATTTTTTAAAAACCAAACTCAAACTACAGACTAGCTAAATATTAAAACTCCACTTTCAGTGCTTTCCTTTAATTGTACAGTAGGCCTATACATTAGCTAAGGCAAAGTAGGCCTATCACTATTACTAGCCTATTGCTCATAGGCTTATTGGGATTTGAATAAAGCAGGCATGAATGATTCCTCAAATCATGCAGCTTGTTGAAACGACATGCTTTTACTTTACTTTAAGGTGATCAGCCTCATGGTTTTTAGTTTAAAAATGTTCGAAAAAGTCCTAGACTTACAGTGAAGGAGGAATGATCCATATCCGATACCAGAATATTGCAGAGAGGGGAGGACTCTTTCAACTTGAGTCAGCAAGCAACCATCTAGTAATGCCCTAGCAACCACCAAGAACAACTCTGCAACCAGAAAGCAACATGCAACCAACCGCAGTCGGTGGGTTTTATACAACAATGAATCACTCAACATTTCTTCAGAAAATGTAAAAATAAGAAATAGTTTTTTTTTTCCATTTAAATAAGCTCAAACGTCTTAAATGTGCCGAACTGGGATCTGTGGAAAAGGTTTGAAAAAAAATTAAAATTGTGTAAAAAAAAGAAATTAATAAAAATAAATAAATCAAAATGTAATGTACAATGTTTTTAAAAAATCTATATATAAACAATACATCTAACAGTGCTGTATTATAATGAGTAGAAAACGTTAATAATACATTTTTCAAAGTATTGGATCTTCATACATGAAAATATATTGCTGCCTTTTAAATTTTAGATGCGTTCAGTTGCATCTAAAAAACTAAAAACTGCTGCTGTAAGCATTTTTTATGGAAAGACTTCATTTAGCCAATCAGAAGACTTTGAGTCACTCTCTGCCTGTCAGTCATTTTGCATGTTCCAAATATGGAAAGCAGGAAGCTGAGAGGGTTCAAGTTGTAGTATCATTCCAGGATTATATATATGTATGTGTGTGTACATATATATTACAATGACAATGGTGTTATGCTGCCAATCAGCTTCTTTCATTTCAATTTTCATTCATTTTAAATTATATCTAAACATAAAGTAACTAACTATTGACATGGTAAAAAAAATGTATTTGAACTTTCAAAACAAACAAAAAAACCCCCCCGAAAGATTGGCATCGTTAAACAACCGTGGCGATTTCTGTGATTGCGGCTCCAAAAACGGTGGTCCTGTGTCGTACAGTGAGAGAGGTTCAAAAAGGTCTTGCGAACAAAGACAGTCTGCTATAATTTCAGAAATTTAGCATGATCATGCACAGTGCGTTTGCTGCAACGACCTATGTCTACTGACCAGCCAATAAAATTGCAACATGAAATGGCCTGTTGATCAACGCGACATGGCGCTAAAACCTAAAACTTCTTAGCACAAATTCTTTTCCCTTCCTCTCTTGCAGCTTCCTCTTTTTTTCAGCACACATAAAAAGTAAAAACTGCCAAACTGTGATTCGTCATGCTCTTTTTGTTCACCACTATAGCGTATGCTGATGACGTTTTATTCTTCAGTAGTAACTTACATCACTAGTGTCATCATCATCCTACAGTCTGCATACAGGTCGTACCCAAGTTTATCAGATCCATGTCGCACAGTGTGATAATGATCTTATAAGATTGCTGAAATCACACAGTCTGTAGGCTCCATGCAGACTTGTTTCCTGCCATCTTTCATGTAGACACGCCCCCTGCAACACCATAACTAGTTTCCCACTGTTAAACATGACTAGGCTTGGTCAATCATGTGCACATTCTAATTATAACATTTCCGAGTTTACACAACAGTACAGATATGAACAAATAATGCAAATTTACTTCTCTCAAGATTCTCCACAGAGCCATAAAGTGAGGCCTGCTGTCAAGGCAACTGGAGCCAAAATGGCGTTCAACGCAGACAGAGTAAACTCTAAACAACGTCAATCCTGCTGCCTACTGTTATGTTATTTCTCAAAATAGATGACAGTCCTTATAAAACATAATACGACGCGTTTTAACTTCTCAGAAGCATTATAACAAAATTTCCTGGACTGTCATAAGAGTTCTCACATGTTAGGTAGGTGGGCGTTCAATGCTCGTACACGGCTGCCACCTGGTGGTCGCAACATTGAACACAAGCACACACTCTCTCTCTCTCTCACACACACACACATACACAATCTTTTAAAAAATGTAAAAGAAAGTTAATGTTAAAGACAAAAGTCAAATTCCTCATGTCTGACACACAGTTTGACTCTTTTTGACCAGACATAAGTTGTTCTTAAAGTTTTTGTACCTCAGTATTGCTTTGTTCTTGACAAAACATTGCTATTCTGACATTATTTCTCCATCAAAACGGCAGAAATAGTCTAATTCATGTGAAGGTTCCTAGAGTGTCCAAATGAAGAAATGATGAGATGTGTGTATGTTCATATGCTCTGTTGTTATCATTTACTGGAAAATATATTTGAAACATTAAAAAAAAAAGTCCTCTAAATCTGTGGGTAAAGGAATTGGACAAGTGAAACTTTTATACAACATAATGATACCTTTTTATTGTTTGTTTACATTTTAGGTGTTAAACATAATCTGACAAAAAAACGTCAAAGAATACATCAAATTAAACTTTGACTTGACTATAAAAAAAGACTACAGTCTGCTAATTCTTGTCACCCTGACGTGAAATTAGTCCATCTATGACCTAACAAGTACGTACCATGGATTAAAAACCACACACAATACATTCATTATCATTCACTGATGAAATGAGCTTCACATAAGGACTAACAGCCTCATGCTTTTATTCAGGTAGAATGGTCTGCATGTAATCTGTAAAGGACCTGATTAATGTTTTCAGTTTCTGCCATCTTGAATCATATTTCTGATGCTGCACTTTAAAAAAAAAAAAAAAACAATAAGCTATTTGAGTTACTATGGAAATCCACAAACAGTAAGAAAAAAAAAACATGCTTTGGTAGATCACAATTATGACATAAAAGGATGACATTTTGACATTTTAAGTCATATTTATAAAATGAAAAGTCAAAACTGACATAAAAAAAACATTTATAAGGACAAGTCATAATTATAACAAAAAAAAAAGATAACATGCAGATATGACATAGGAAGTCAAAATTATGAAATAAAAAAAAAAATCAGATTTCAAAGATTTAGACTCATAATTTTGAATTTTTATGCCATTATGACTTTTGTCATAAAATGTTGCCAATTATGACATGGTAGGTCATATTTGTTTTTGTTTTTTTTTTACTTTTTATCTCATAAATATGACTTTTTATGTCATAATTTTGACTTGACTTTTTATGTCATAACTATGACTTTTGCAATAATTATGACCGTCTCATAATTTGAACTTTTTGTCAATTATGACTAGGTCATAATAGGTAGGTCATCATAATTTGTACATTTTATGTCATATTATTACAGTATATCATAATTATTACATCTCATAAATGACATTCTGTCATAATTTCAATTTGACATTTGATTTCATCATTTTGATATACCAAAGCACTTTTTTTTCTTATGTGTCAGAAATAGGCTTCCATAAGTTAGTGATTTTAACAGGGTTCAAAGATTTTAGAACAGTCTGATATTCATTTAAATTCCTCCTCTGAATAGCATATGCTGAGAAACTAATTTTTAATTATTACTTAAAAATGATCTCTTGATGTTTAAAAATGGGTATTAGCTGCATTCTGGATGTTTTGTTTGCCACCCATCATGAAAGGTTTCTTGCCTGCTTGCTATTGAAGGAATATTCCAGGGTTCTGTAAAAGTTCAACAGCATTTCTAGCATAATCTTAATCCCTCATTTTCTTAAATAAACAAATAAATATATAAATAAATAAAAAGTTGCAAATATCAAGACTATTTTGAAGAATTTACAATGGAATTAACAGGGTCAATTTGTAGAAAATATATTAGTAAACTACAAGCATTGTAACATTAACAGATCGGCCTCCTTCAAATGTAACCCACATTTTTGGAAGTGGAAATCATTTTTTAGTAATTAACAATATGCCACAATTGCCGTCTACTGAGTTTAACTTGGACTAAACCTGGAATAGTTCTTTAATGACTATTTTTAGAGGAGCACTCATTTCCCTGTCGTTAAAATATTACAATTATTGATGTGACCGCATGATGAAGCTTTCCTGAAATTTCTGACCGCTATGTGTACATGAACAACAAGTGATGGTGATGAATAGCTTATACAAATCATGATAATAAAGTTCAAGGCATTCTAAAGGCGTTTTCTACCAGTATTCAAAATATAGGAGACACTGTAAAAGAACGAGTAAGAGATTTAACAGTATAATCTCAGAGTGAAGCTGCTGTGTAGCTCAACCTGGATTTGCTCGATGTGGTTTTCTTCTCCCGACCGCAGAACACCCACCTGCTCATTGATGCTTTCACACCTCTGCTCGTAACCATGCAAACCCTAATGATGCATCTTGATGTCTCTAGCCCTTTCCTCTTTCTCTGTCGCACACAGGTTCTCAGTACACGTTCACATTTCCCCATTCCACTAGGTACTGGACTTTTCCATCCGGCGTTATGCGTCTGGCCAGGATCCTGACGGAGTCGCTTCCCCCCCACCCCATCGGCGTGGGTCCCCCGATGCCGACTGTACTGGGGTAGGGTGGCACGTCA